AATTGCACATGAAAAGTGATTATGGAGATGGAGAGTTGAGGACTTGTAGGGCTGTTTTCTATTTTCTACCAATTTGAAAGAGCCTTTACACAGCTGCCTATTTTTAAATATTGTTGGAAGTACTCAATATAAACACACACAAGTTATTTCGAGTAACCGTATTTCCTGTTCTACTATCTCATTTCTAGCTCCCTCCAAGAATCATGTACCCAGGCTCCAGGCCAAGGTTGGGACCCCCTTTTGGCCTTTGCTTCAGCTACTATGGCACCCTGTGTACCGTAATACATGAAAATGTCCTGGCCACTCTTAGAAATTTCAGTCAAACATTAAAAATGGAAGTTTATTCTCCCCCACCAACCTTTATTTTTGTTCCAGCCTCAATCATCTCCCTGTTTTATGGATATCTAGAACATTTATAGTCATCCCAAAGTAACCTACCCTCCGGGTTATATACTATTTTTTAGGTTCTGCTGTTTCTCGTGAGTCATCTATGCCTTGTGTGCCTGATTTGCTGAGACATAGCTGGGAAGAGGGCAGAGCCAGAGTGTCTGTGCCTCTTGGGTACCTACATCCCTGAACACAGATGTGGAGACCCTCTGTGAACTAGCCTGTCTTCACTGCACAATATCATTGCCAGAGAATTTTGAGCAAAAATCTTCCATCTAGTAGGAGAGCCTAAAAAGGCTCTCATCAGAATTTATGAAATAAAATAACATCAGAACCTAAATAAAGCCACCAAATAGGTACATTCGTTTTAAGTAACATGTTATTGATTCCAGTCTTGGGTCACAAATCTGTAGCTCAAAATAACTACCCAAGTGTTTCTAATAAAGCATTCTGATTTAAGAATTTTTTAATTACAATTAAAGACAGGTGTATCATTTCTCTGTTAAAATCTAGTATTCGGCAAGAATGCTTTTTTATATTTTGGCATTTATAGATCCTTGGCATGGTTTATGTAAAACGTAAGAGAGAGGAGGTGTCAGAAAATACAAACAATTCCCCTTGGACAGGAAAGCAAAAGGAAACCCTGGGGTAATATGGCTTAAGCATCACCATAATGTTAGCTGTCTGCTGTCTACAGTAAAAAGATGCTAAAATTCACAAAGTTTATAAATGATGGTTCTCTTCTCTTATTAATCTAATTTTTTTCCCTCAGGGAAATTTAATCTCAAAGATTTCAATGGAAAACATATTTCAGAATAACAAAGGACACCTTTTATCTATCTCAGAAAAGCCGAACCACAGCTTTCTGCAAGGGCAAAAATGCTTGTGTTAGTGCACATTTAAACTGAGAAGTTGTAAAAGTTAACTTTTTAAAAAATAAGCTATTTTTAATTTTTTAATGCTATTTCTGCAATTCATTCTTAAGAAAATACACATTAAGCCATGTGAACAGTGAAACTTAGAGCTTTCTAAAACCTTGAAAGTTTTTATTTCTGTGTGTATTTTTTAAATCATACATATTTGAGAGTCTAGGAACTGAGATAATATATTTAATCAACAGCAACAATTCGCTAGGTACCTACCATGTGCCAAGTAGTGTGTTGGATGTGGGGACACGTTAGTGAACAAGACTCTTCCATCTTCCTATGAAATGATGAAACCCTAGTCACCATAAAGCCCAATCATGTTACAATGGGGGAAGCCCAGGGCACAGAGGAATGCAAGCAGGGCAGGCCTGCCTGGTCGGGAGGTCAGAGAAGGAATTCCTAATAAAGGGATATTTAAGCTGAGACCAGACCATGGCTGAACGATGCGGGAAGGGGAAGACTGTGCTGGGCAGAGGATGTGGCAAAGGCCTGCAGGTGAGACACATCATTGGTGCCCTTGGGAGAAATGACAACCATAAGCAAGTGCAGAACCTGGAGGAAGAGTGCTGAGAATGAGGAAGTGGGGCCAAATCTGGAGGCCTTGAAAGCCTGGAGGTTTGTTCATCTACGATCAGTGTGGAGGGGCATATTCAAGAGTTTAAAAAACATACTCATGTTTATAAAAGTCACTCCAACTATAGAGACTGGAGGCATAGCACAAGAGGCAGGAGACAAGTCAGAGATCTGAATCCACAGTCCAGGAAAAAGATGATCACAGGCTCTACCGGGAACTGAATGATACAAATAAATATAGGCAGGAGATATTCCAGAAGCAAAGCTAAATATATTTGGTGACTGTTCAAATGTTGGTGGTGAAGGAGGAGAAGACCAGTGCACCTCACATAGCTGTGCAGGTTGTACACTGAGCAACCCAGGAGTGCCATGGCCATCACATCTACGTGGAAGTCTCGTGAAGAACTTGTGCAATGTGGCAGAACCTGGAAGCTCATTGATGAAAGAATGTGCCCAGATCTCTATGTTGAGCAAATGGCAATGATTGATTTTATTTACTATAAGTTAGAAGGAAATTGGGGTTTACTATAGGGGAAGAGTGTGAGTAGCGGTGATGAAAGGAAATGATGAGGTGAGTACCAAACAGTTTGAGTTTGAAGGGAGATGAGAAGAGAGAAATTGACATGTATTTATCTGGATATTGGCCTGACAATGCATGTTTGTGAAACCTCAGTGTTCAGGTGGTAATTAAAGCAAGACAGTTGCCTGAGATTCGACAATAATAGTGTTTGGGGACTGAAGAAACTTTGAAATTTCAAAACCTTTGGAATGTCCCAATTATCAATGATGGAGAAGCAAAAGATGAAGAGGTGGAGGAGGCACCCAAGAGACCAGGAAGGGAGCCACAGGGTCCAGGAAGAGAATGAAGAAGAGGCAAAGTAGCTGGTGATGAAAAAGTGACAGTGTCCACAGGGCCTGTAACACATGGGTGGCTGTGATTAGAGTGATATCCCATTGGGAGGAGGGGCAGAATCCAGATCATAATGATTTGAGGATGGAAGTGAAAATGCAGAAATAGAGGCAAGAACTCCTGACAGCTCTTTTATTCAGTTTAGTTGCGGATATGAGGGCAAGAACAGTAGCAGAGGGAAAGTTAAAAGGAGTATTGAAAATACAAAGAAGGAGAATATTTTTTAGAAGGTTAAGCAAGCAAAGTTAAAGCAATTAGCTTCCCGTAGAAGTAGGTACATGCCATTTATTGTAATACGAGAGTGTGCTATCCCAAATACTTATACATTTTTGTTTCACTTGAGCTGGCTCAAATCAAAAAGACATAAACTGATACAGAAAGATGTTCACAGGAGAAAATTTTCAAGAATCATCTTGAAAATGTATATGGCCTCTAATACAATTACTATTTTATCACTTTCTGGAGCAGTTCTCTTTCTCTTTTCAATTTACCTGTTCGGTGGCTCACAAAATTATAATGCTAGTGGTACAGGAAACTCTAATAGTGACAGATATGGAGAAGGAAAAGAACATCAATCTCATACTAAAAAAATTACAGAAATTGTGAAGCTGATTTAGAAGCAGTAGATGGATTCCTGGAAAAAAGGACCCTCTTCTGTCTGCATCCTGGTAATCAGCAGACCAAGAGGGAATTATTAATGTGTATATGACATCCAAGTAAATGAATTGTTTGAAAATCGCTTGAATTACACAGAAAATTTAGGATTAATAAATAGCCCATGACTTTGAGAGTTTTCTTTTGAATACATTTTTGGGATATTCTTTGAAGATGAATTAAACCTTTTGTTTGGCTAAATACATAATTATATCAAGGTCAGCAAATGCAATGTACTCTTAAGGTAATTAGGCACTTATCATATTTATACTCAAACTAAAATGCTTGTATTTATTAGGTTTTCATTATTTTCAATAATATTTTTAAGGTATTTTAGGATTAACTTACCAATTTTCTTGATTTTATTGTTATTACTGATTTTAATGTTTTTCTTCCTTAATTACTGCGATAAACGAATTGGGTCTCCTCAAAATTTATGTGTTGAAGCCCCAACTTCCAATCTAATGTTGTATGGAGATGGGGCCTGTGGACAGTAAGTTTAGATGAGGTCATGAGGATACGACCTTCATGATGGAATTAGTGTCCTTGTAAGAAGAGACACTGGAGAGCCTGGTCTTTTTCTATGCCATGTAATGATACAGTGAGAAGACAGCTATGTGTAAGCAGGAAAGAGAACCCTTACCAGAAACCAACCAGGCTAGCACCCTGATCTAGAGCTTCCAACCTTCAGAACTAGGAGAAAATAAATTTCTGTTGTCACCCAGTCTATGGTACTATGTTAAGTCAGCCTGAGCAGAATAATGCAATTACTATGTGGATGCTAAATGAGGCTATGGAGATATGCCATGGATATTCATCCTAGGTCAGGGCTTGTCAGTTTCAGCACTTTGGGCATACCGGTTCAGATAACTCTGCTGTGAGGGGCTGACCTCTGCACTGTAGCATATTTCACCATTCCTGGCTTCTACCCAGTAGATGCCACTAGCATCTCCTGTCCCTGTTGAAAGTCACTGTTTTAGGTAGTGTTTAAAGCAAAAAAAATTTATTTAGCATAAGCACCATTATTCTCTTCACACCTCTATTCTCAAGTCCACAAGCCTTTGTTAGAACCAACAGCAAACACATGTTATTTTAGCTCAAAATATAATATGTGAGCACTCTCCAGTGGAGGGAGACTCTGGAATTTGGATTAAATTCTCAAGTGAGTCAAAGATGGATATTACAAAAAAAAAAAAAAAAGCAAAAACAAAATAAAAACAAGTGGAAACTGAGCTAAATACGAATTTGAGCTTAGCCACTAAATTTATCTTTAATATCCTATTTGCTTATGCTTTTCCCTGCTACTTTTTCTATATGCAAAAGTCATTGGAAGAGGATGTTTTGAATTGCTGTAAGGAATAACTAAAGCACGTCAGATGTTCTTATTTTTGAGGAAAAGATATCTTGGTGTATTTATTTCTCCATCCCATCAGCTAACAATGACTGAGTAGCCAGCCCATGCCCAGTGCTCTGCTAAAGACAACGAAGCAGGTATTTCAATCAAACATGATGCTGGATTTCCCAGTTCAGGAATAGCAAATAGGAAGTACGTGTGTGTCCACAGCAACATCACTAATAACACAGTCTTCTGCCAATACCGGAAGGGCTGCTGCTTCATCCCAGTCACACCCACAGATGCCCTTCATCCCAGTCAGATTCATCAGGAATATGAAACCTATCTGCCTAGCCAGTGACTGCATTTTTCTCAGACCTGGTTTCCCTGCTGTCCCTCCACATCTTTTAACACAGAAACTTACTGATAACATTCTGCGCCCCAAAATGTTCCATTCATCTGAGGATGAGGACCCAAATCTTTAAGCTAACCAGAGGGCCCCTGGGAAAATTCTAGACTCTTTTTTTCTCTCTCTCTCTCCCTGTCCTATACTCAGCTCTACAGTCAGTGGCCTTCTGTCAGTCCTTGAACCGAACTTTCTTTCTTATCACTCAAGTGATTTTCAACTGCACTATTTTTTCTCTGTGGGATAGACTTTGCTTAATTAATTCCACACATCGTTTACAACGAGCACAAATGTCACTTTCTTAGGAGATGCTTTCTGACTTTCTCTCTCTCTCTTACTTTCTCTCTCTCCCTGCTTTCTCTCCACTTTCTGCTCTTACCTTCATGAGGGCAGAGGAAGTGTCTATGTCTTGTTTCCTGTATAAGCTACAGTGACTGGCACATAACATATGCTCAGTAAACAATTCATTCTCAGTTTATTTCTATTTTTAAAGGCAAGACTCTGTCTTCTAGCTGAACAGAAAACTCAGCTTAGGGCTAAGCAAGTACTAATTTCCCTGAGTCCGGATGACCACCTATATATAATTCTATTCTGTGAAACCAAGGCTTGGTTCCTTCTAGTTGTAAGTTTATGAGGACTTACAGCAGATGTCAACATTTAAGGCAGATAAGAAATTTGAATCACATAAACACTGCTAATAACACAAGTAGCTTGAATGGATCTTAAATGTGTTATGCTGAGAGTGGGGTAGAGGCCAACATCAGTGGTTTACATATTGTGAGATTATATTTATGCATCATCCTTAAAGTGAGAAAATTATAAAGATGGATAGCAGAACAGAGGTTGCCAGGGTTGAGGCTGGAGGGAGTCTCTTCAATATAAGTCTGTATCTTAATTATGTTGAGGAGTACTCAAACATACCAAATGCCAAAATCTCAGAGAGCTAGGCACCTTCCCCCAACCCCCACAAAATGAGGATATACACAAGCTGGTATAATTTAAATAAGGTCTGAACTGATGTAGATAGTATTATACCAACATTGATTTTATGGCTTTGACATTGTTCTGTGGCTGAGATTATCATTGCAGAGAGCTGGATGAGTGATACCCAGGAACTGTGTATATTATCTTTGCAAACTGTATGGGTCTTAAACTATTACAAAATGAAATGTTATTAAAATGTTTCAGAACATTGTAATATCAATGAAATCTAATAACATGTAGTTATTGATTTCAGTATTATAATAGTGGAGGCTTTTGCTTATCTTATGTGAGAAAAGGGTAAACATGAGTTATAAATAAAATCAAACAATTTTGGTGATTAGAAATTAAGATTTGGGTGCTAACAAGTATTAAAAGGAAGAGATAGTAGAAATATTCTATTTATCTTTTCCAGAAATTATCCAGGGAAAGATTGTTTTCAAGGCAATGTAGTTGAGGGAGCTTTACAAATGGCTTCATGAAAAAAAAAAATAGATGTAATACTTTAGAATATAGTAATTTTAAATAACCAGTGACTGACCCTGTTGAAATAATGTGTAAGAAATATTTATGTTAGAATTGGAGAAACTTTATCTAATTCATTATCCATCACATGTCCTAAAGCAGTAATTTCAAATAACTAAATACTATTAGATTACATTTTGTTTTATTTTTAAGCAATATTATTCCTCTTAAAGATTTTGCAATATTTCATTCTCTCTCAAATGAATGCCTTCATTATTTTCAACGATGCTGCTGTATTAAATCAGCCCAGGGAATTTGAGGTCTTCTTTGTGGTGCACTTTCAATGTCTGTGTATGGGGGCATCCACCTGATGGCCCATTAGCTGGGCAGCATCCAGCCTGTCTATGCTTGACAATTTAGTCACCTGGAGCACCACCAGTCCACAATGGCATGCTCCCATATAACAAGGAGACTGCAGAGTTCTACACTTCCTTATGTGTGTTTACTGATTCTTCTTGAGAATCAGTTTCTTTAGCTGATGTAAAAGACCCTTAAGGAACACCACAGTTTGTGAGTGAGGGAAGAATAAAATCTGTGATAGTTAATTTTGGCCATCAACTTGACTGGATTAAGGCATACCTAGAGAATTGGCAAAGCATGATTTTAGGGTGTTTCTGTGAAGATGTTTCCAGGGGAGATTGCTGTGTGAGTCTGAGTGTGTAAGTGGTAAACCTGCCCTCAGTGTGGGTGGACACCATCCAATCTGCTGGGGTCCCAGATAAAACTAAAACAGAGGAGAGAGAAATTAGCCTCTCTCTTCTAGAGGTGCGAAACATTCTTCTTCTCCTTGGATATCAAAACTCCAGGCTCTCCAGACTTTGGCTTTTGGACTCCAGGACTTATACCAGGAGTCCCCTGGGTTCTTAGCCTTCAGACTTGGATTGATCCATGCTACTGGTATTCCAGGTCTCAACTTACAGATGGTCTTTCATGGGACTTCTCAGCCTCTATACACATAGGAACCAATTCCTCTAAAAAAATCCCCATATATATGTATCCTATTGGTTGTGTTTCTCTGGACAATCTTGACTAATACTTTGGTACTAGTAGTGGTCGTAGAGGAAGAAAATTTTAAGAATGAGTTTTCTTTATTGGTTTTGGGGTTTCAATTCTCTAATCTCATTAGGCCTAAGAATACCTAAGACTATGTGTCTAATAGTACAGACAGCACTGATAATCTGTGGAATGAACTGTTTATAGAGATACACAAATAAATGGATTTGATACTCCTAATTTACCACTTACAGTAGGCAGGGTACTTGGTGACTGTGATGTTTAATATTGGGTGTCAACTTGATTGGATTGAGGGATGCACAGATGGCTGATGAAGCATTGTTTCTGGGTGTGTCTGTAAGGATGTTGCCAGAGAAGATTGACATTCAAATTAGTGATCTGGAAGAAGAAGACCCACCTTCAATGTGGGTGGGCACCATCCAATTGGCTGCCAGCCCAGCTAGAACGAAGCAGGCAGAAGAAGAGTATTGGCAGCTTGCTGAAAATCCTTTCTCTCTCTCTTCCCATGCCAGATGCTTGCTTCCTCTTCTCTTGCCCTTGGATATCAGACTCCAGGTTCCTCGGGTTTTGAACTCTGACGCTTGCACTCCCAGAGGCTCTTGGGCCTTCAGCCTCTGACTGAGGCCCTCACTGTAGGCTTCCCTAGTTTTGAGGCTTTTGAAATTAGTCAAGTTACCAGCTTCTCTCCTTCTCCAGCTTGCAGGTGGCTTATTATGGGACCTCACCTTATAATCATGTAAGCCAATTCTCCCTAATAAACTCCTTTTTATATATCCATATATCCTATTGATTATGTTCCTCTGGAGAATCCCAATACAGTGACTCCATATATGCCATAGTCTGCTTGTTGGTCCCTTCCTAATATCATGTTAATATGTGATCCCCAGTCTTGGAAGTGAGGCCTAATGGAGGTGTTTAGGTCATGAGGGGAGATCCCTTAAGAATAGATTGATGCCCCCCCCCCCCCATTTGGGGGAACATTCTTGCTCTATTTTTTCCCAGAAGAGTTGCTTATTAAAAAGAAACTGGTAACTCCCCTCTCTCTTGTTTCCTCTATCATCATGTGACCTCTCCACAGGCTAGCTCCGCTTCCCCTTCTGCCAGGAGTGAGTGGTAGCAACCTGAGACCCTCTCCTGAAGCAGATGCTAGCACCATGCTTCTTGTACTGGCTGCACAGCCATAAGCCAAATACATTTATTTTCTTTATAAATTACACAGCTGCAGATATTCCTTTAGGGCAACACACATGAACTAAGACAGTATGATACTTCCAAATATTTGCAGAAAACTAATGAATATAATGATGATGGTTGGTTGCATCTAATGTTAGACAAGGTAATGAATGAAAAGGACAAGCTTGGGGATGTGATCTCCTGGCTGCAGCTCTGTATAAATAGCCTAAGAACTTCTCAGTGTTACCTGAGTCAGAATCTTCTCTCCTGTAACCACAGGGCTGAAACTGCTGAAAGTCAGATGCAATCCCCTATCATATGTTTGACTGAATTACAACAAAAGTTGAACTTTCAGTCTCACAAAGCGTATACTGTGGAAGTGAGGGCATTGTCTGGGAAGAATAGGATCCTGTATGTTGGACTGGGACGTGTGGGAGGACCCTGACAAGGCTGGGAACATTGAGCTCCTAAATTTTGAAGAGTCTTGTTTCCCAGTGAAAGTGGTCTCCCATCTGCTTCTTCACCTTGTTTGAAAAGATTAACTCCTCATTGACTGAGAAAATAGTAATGGCCAATTTTGAAACAGTTGCCAAGCAAAACAGTGCTAATTCTCCTCAGGACCCACCCTCAACACCCACTCTGCTTCTAGAGCTGTAACTAGACTCAAATCCCAGTGGGTCCTTGAAGGTGAGGTTCAAAGTGTGACCCGTGAGGATGTGCACTATCCTCCACCTGAGTTTTCCCAAATACCACATGTTCTCACTTACAAGTGGGAGCTAAATGATGACAACGCACAGACACATAAAGAGGAACGACAGACATTGGAGGCTATCAAAGGGTGAAGGTAGGAGGAGGCAGAGGATCAGGAAAAATAACTGGTGGGTACAAGGCTTAATACCTGGGTGATGAACTAATCTTTACAACCAACCCCCATGACATAGGTTCACCTATGTAATAAACCTGTACATGTACCCCCGAACTTCAAATAAAAATTAAAGTTTTCTAACTTACACAAATGGAAATCTGGGGAACATGTGTGAGAAAGTATGGGATAATGGTGAAAGAAACATAAATTTGGATCAGGTCATATTTATTAATATGGAGCCACTAAGCAGAGATTCTGTATTTAATGTGGAAGCTCAGGGATTTAGGAAAGGTGCTAATTAGTTGGTTGGTTTGTTGGCTAAAACACAAATTAAAAGATGGCCTGGCTG